TAAAAGGCTAATATGCAAAGTGTCCCCTTGGGAGCTCAACCAGGAGACCAGGGGTTCGATCACTTGCTATGATGTGCGCTGACCACCAGGGGGCGGCACAGAATGAAGGAAGGCTCCAACTGGCAGCCAAAGGCTCCGATTGGCCCTGATCACCGGCTAGGCCTAGGGACCCTACCCGTGCATGAATTTCGTGCACCGAGCCTCTAGTAAATTTATATTAAGTGAATTATATTAAGGACCCTTGGCAGAAAAAAGGTTCCCCACCCCTGCTCTAACCTATCAAATCCCCTTAGAATGAGTGCAATGTAACATGTAACGGCTACATTCTCCTGTCTTCTCCCTGGGTTTCATGGGCCATGCGCCTGAATGCTTCCAGGCTTCACCCCGGTGTCCTGAAAGGAAACGGGCACCCTTTGCAAGCGCTAATGTGGAGGGATGGCATGTTTACTCTAATGACCACCGGAGTCTCCCTGAAATTCCACTGCAATCCAAACAGCCAGAGACCCCGAGTTCACGTCATGTCCCGGTCACCTTGGGAGGTCCTGAGGGCAGGCCCTGCGCCGGAGCCACCCGCGCAGCCCGGCACCCGCAGGTGCTACAAGTCTTTGTCCCACTTTCCCAGGGATCCCTTCCCAGAGGGACAACCTGGACACTTCCTTCCTTAAAGCGAAGAGATAGGGCGCCCTCTCCCTGTGCTGCCCCAGGGAGTTTCATCTCAGCGAGGGGGCCTCTCACAGACTCGCATGGTCCCCGAGGAACCTGCTTTCCTCCCTGTAACTTAGGACGCGTGCCCGGTGCCTATGTGGGCCTCTCGGGGAGCGAGAAGGCAGGATCACAGCTCTCCTGACCACACTCTCTGAGGACCACGGGGCAGTCTGCTCAGACAGTGTCCTGACCCCCGACCCCCAGCTCCCACCCAGACCATGCGAGCCCCTTCCCTGTCAAGCTCTCATCCCCCAGGCCTTCTCCTGAGCCCTTGATATAACCCCTTGGAACCTCAGCAATTTCATCTGTGCAGGCTGCTGGGCAGGTGAGAAGTGTGCATTGCGTGAGTGCAGCCAGCCCAGTGCCCGGCACGTCATAGGAAGCGGTATCAACCCACTTCCTTCCTCCTGGCCTCCTCCCACCGTCCGCTGCCTGCAGGGAACACGTCAGAACCCCAGACTGTCAGGTCACCTGAGGCTCAGAGAGACCGGGTAACCTGTCTGAACACACACAGCACCCAGTGGCAGAGCCCACCCTCCAGCACAGGGTCCCCGAATCCCAGACCTGCCCTTTGCCCTCTCAATGGAGGCTGGATCAACAGTCAGGCGAGGAAGCAGCCAGGGGAATCTCAACCTCACACTTCCTGGTCCCACAGTCCTTGTTAATATCAATATTGATACCGACAACAGGAACAGCTGCCATTTGTTGAGCCCTTACTAGGCACCAATGAAGTTAATAACGGTGACAACAGCCATCACACTTGCAATGATGCCAGCGACCATCTGCTCGGGGCCAGTACTACCCTGAGCCCTTCCCACGGGTCAGCGCCCTTCTTCCTCGCCACGGCCTATAAGGTGGCTCTTGGGGCCCACATGCTCCGGCGCTGAGATCCCCCAAGTTTCACAAGGGGATCAGGCTGTGTCACAGCCCAAAGTCTCTCCCATTCACGTTTCCAGGGGGCACCTGAATGGGGGACACAAAGGCCACAAAGAGCCCCACTTCCGTTTGGGTCCATTGTGCCACCAAATGAGCTACAAATGTGCGTGTGTGTGTGTGTGTGTGTGTGTGTGTGTGTGTGTGTGTGTTTGGGGGGCGGGGGAGAGCGCGGTTTCAAAGTGGTTTGGGGTTTCAGAATTGCAGACAATTGCTTATTGCCATTTGACACACAAGGCAACTGAGGCCCAGAGAGGCTAAGTAATGTGCTGAGAGTCTCAGCGCAGAGGTTCCAACATGGTTGGTTTACTCTGGAGCCAGGCTGGGCCACCACGCTGTATGTTATAAACGTGTTGTAGTCAGTGTGCCTGGGGGGGCGTGCGCAGGTTGATTCGTGATTTATAATCGGGGAACCCAAGGCTGGGGAGCCCACATGCCTTGTCCAAGGACCGGGCTGCCCTTGGCTCTGCCCTGGAAACAGTGGCCGCTGGAAGCGAGGGGCAGGAAACACAGATGGCAGCCCAGGGGTTCCTTCCCTCCCACCTGCCCAGGGGGCCTGGGGAGGGGGGAGAAGGCCCCCCACCCCCGCCTTGGAACAGGCCTTCCCTTCAGGCTCCCAGCGCCGCCCCCCCCCCCCCCCAAGCTGGGCCTCATCTGCAGGAATAAACACCATCAAAGGCATGTTTAGTCTTTAGCTGGGATTTACAATGTGCCGGGAAAGAAAAAATAAATCATTCATTCCAACTTGGGCGATAGGGTGGCGCCAGAACTTCCCCAGAAAAGCCAGAAAATTTCCCTTGCCTTCCAGAGAGGAGGTGGGCCAAGGGGAGGGGGCTGGGACCAGGGGAAGGGGGATGTCGAGCCTGGGGGTGGTGAAGGAGGCAAAGAAGGGGACAGAGTCTAGCCTGGAGTCAGGAGAGGCGATCCTCCCCCCAAGCCCTGTTCTGGAGCCGGGGACGCCTCCACAGTGTAGCTCCTGGTGGTGAGCCAAGCAGAGACTATACCATCCTGTGGGCAGGCGGCGTGGTGTCGGGGGAGGCATGGGCCTGAGCCAGAGGAAGCGGAGGGAAATCTCCACTCTGACACCTCCAACCTGTGGGTGACCGTGACCAAAGGTCACTTTGCTTTTCTGGGCCTTGGTTTCCTGAAGTGGAAAATGCTTGCAAAACTGAAGCGTGTGTCGAGTTATGAAGTCAGCTCCTGGCGTGTGGTTGGTGCCCATCTATGGGCACCACCTTTATTACTGTGAGATGGGGAAACACACAGGGGTGAGAAGGTGGACTGCCCGGCACCCGACAGAGCTGACTAGCTTCTGAGTCATAGGAACCACCTCACTGGAGCCCAGTTCTGATCTACCCTGATGATAACGTGCAACTGACTGGGTCCCAGAAAAGCCCTAGGGACTGATCCCCAAACCCTGTCTCTGGAAAAGGACATTCCCTGCCCTAAGCATTTGCCTATGTGGTGGCCAAGCAAGCTTCCTGTCATCTGCTGAAACTGTTTCCCCTTTTCCCTTGACCGCCAGGAAGCTCCGTGTCCAAGTTAGCCCTCCGTTACATGAGCATCTCATCCCCTGGCTTCAGGCAGAATGGTCTTCCTCTCTCTCAGTGTGCATTCTGATTGCTCCAATTTGGTTTTCTGTAGGAAGTCAGGGCCAGTCCTCCTGGCAAACAGGCTGGGTGTGGATTGTAAATAAGTAAAGCAGGTTTAGGTAGGAACCACCACAGTGAGAAATTTCACCCGCGTGAACCCAGAAGCCAGGTTGCTGGGGTTTGGATCTCAGCTCTGCCATTTACTAGCTGTGTGACCTTTGGCCAAGTTGCTTAACCTCTCTGTGCCTCAGCTTCCATATGTGCACACGAGGGTTTTCATATCCATGACCTCAGAGGATTTCTGTGAGGACCGAATAGTAAATGCAGTCAGTACACAACATTCAGTTCCAGGTGTTTCCTAAGTGTTAGCTACTGACGGTGTCATGTTTTCTCACTTCCTTCTAAGAGGGATTGGAGGTAACTTGACCTTCAAATGGTAAAATGCAGGAGCCCTCATGGCTGCCGGCTCTGCACCTGCTCAGAGGACCAGACCTGTAGCACTGGAGGAAGGCAGGCCCCGGCCCAGCTGGGCCACGGTGAACTCCTCCAGGAGTCCGGGAGCCTGAGCGCTCCCTGCTCTGGCCGTTGACCTGCTGGCTGCCCTCACGCGCTCACCTGTAGGACAGGGCTCTCACACTTGGGGAAGCGTGGTGGGGATCAGTGGAAGAATGAATGTAAAGTGGCCAACACTGCCCCAGCATATGGGTTGTGCTGACCCGATGTAGGGATGGTGGAGGCTACTGTTACTATTGCTGACATTGCTATCGCGATTAATCTCTCTGAGCATCTGCTTTCCTGTCTGACAACCTAACACTTACTGTACAGAGCTGCTGTGAGGAGATACTATGTGTGTAAAGCTTCTAGAAGTTACCATGTGCACATAGTAGGTCTTCCTTAAGTAACTGTGATTATCACAATTGACTGGTTCATCCAGCAGCCATTCCCAGCTCCTTGTGTCCCTGTCTTTAGAGTCGGAAAGCCAGATACGTTCTCAGCCACCCTGAACGCCAGGGGTGCCTTTGTAACGCAATCTGGGGCACGTTTTTAGGGGCCTTGCTCTTCTTCCCCTTGATCTGACCACAGCAGCATGAGACGGGGCTGTGGCAGCCACCGTGGGACCACAAGGTGAGTGGCATGCTGTGGAAAAGCCACCACAATGAGGATGCTGAAGAGACAGCCAGGACCACGGTCCCTGACCTTCCACGCTTGACTGCTGGCTACATGCACCAGTGTCCTTAGATCTGAAGCACAGTAAGTCTAACATTCTCGTCCACAAAGCTGCGCACCTTCCCTCTGGCACAGGCCTGGGGTTTTTATTGACAGCCTCCTCCCTGGGCCTCACCTGTGGGTGAGGGGCATGGGTTTAACAGTTGCTAAGGAGCCTTCACATTAATGAAAACGTTTACTGAGTCCTTACCATGCCAAGCACTAACATAATCTCACAGAACCCTCCCAACTACCCAAAGAGTTAGATTTCATTATTGTCCCCAGTTTGCAGAGGGTGAACCAGGCAGAGAGAGGCGAGCGGCTGGCGCACAGTGGCTACAGGCCTGGAACGGGGAGGGGTGGAGTGGGATCCTGGTCCAAGGGAGACTCTGCCCACAGACCCCGCCTTCCAGGCCAAGGGTCCACGGTGTGACCACGGGGAGGCTGCCTGTACCCAGGGGGCTCGTCTGGGACAGCTGAGGCTTCATCTCCCCCCACCCGCCCGGGCGGATCCCCCACGCGGCCGGCCAATGCCGGCTGGGCACGGGACGGAGGAGTGCGTACCTTGTCCATGTTGAAATAGAAGAGGACGCCAGCAGCCACCTGGGCGATGAGGATCAGGAGGAGGAAGATGAAGTACTGGGAACACAGAGCCGGTAGGTTAGCTGGAAGCCCTCACCAGGTCCCCCCTCAGGTGCTCCCCACCCAGCCTGAGCCGCGCAGGGCTCAGGGCAGGACAGGCAGAGGGGGGCTACTCACCAGCCCCAGCAGGCAGCGGACCTCGTTCACGGCGCCGATGCAGCCCAGGAAGCCCATGAGCATGGTGACGGCCCCCACGCCGATGAAGATGTAGGCGCCCACGCTGAGCGAGGTGGAGGAGGCCTCTGGGGATGGGAGGGAGGGTGTGCCATCAGGCCGGCTGTCTCGCCCTCATGAAGTACAGAATCAGGGGCAGGGCCCGAAGGTCCAGGACCTTCCTTGGAGTCAGGGTGCTGGGTCAGCCCCCCAGCAAGGAACCTGCTCCTCGCCCCCTTTGGAAGCTGCCTGGATGTGCCTCCCCCAATCTACCCTAACCCCATCCCTGCTTCACTTGATCTCAGCACTGACCAGGAGTGAGAAGACGACCTTTTGCTAATCTCGCTTGCTCCTGTCTGCAGCCCCACAAGAATGAGAGCTCCAGGAGGGCAGGGACTCAGGTTTGTTCCTGCTGAACCCCCAGATCCCGAGCCGTGTCTGGCACAGCAACAGGATGAGTGAGTAGCTGCTGAAGTAACGAACCGCGGACTGGCAGGTCCTGCTGGGGCCACGGACACCACTGCCTGCCTTCCTCCTCGCCCATAGATAGGACTAAAGACCTGCCTCTCCAGCCCACTCCCTGTGCCTCCTGGGCTTCACACGCCACCTCCAACTCTGACATCACTCAGCACAGCCGCTTCCAGCCAAGGAAACGGAACCAGAGGCTCAGAGAGCTGCACCAGCACAGACCAGAGCTGGGATTGGAAATGTGCAGACCTCCAAGGCCGCTCTTTCCACCAATGCACGGGGCACATGTCCTGGCACAGGTGTGGCGCTTGCTCATTCCTTCAGCCAACACGTGTTTACCAGGTGCTCACCACCTGCCAGACCCTGTGCTGGCTGCTGGGGATGCAGAGTCAGGCGGCAGAGGTACCCCACACCCAGGAGCTGACATTATGTGGGGCGGGGAGTGGGGACAACAAGAAAACAATACAATCTTCTGGCTGCATAAAGGGCCATGGAGGTGCTAAGCTGGCTAACGTGGAGAACTATGGAGCAGGGAGTGGGTTGCATGAGGAAGGCTGGTCTGAGCAGGTGATGTTTGAGCTGAGATGAGAAAGGAGAGGTCAGTCAATTCAAGACCTCAAGGGAAGGGAAAAGCATTCCAGGCAGTGGGAACAGCAGGTGCAAAGGCCTGAGGAAGGAGTAAGCTCGATGCGTTTGAAGAATGGAAAGAAGGGGAGAAAGAAGGGACCAGCGTGAGAGAGGAGTATGACAGGCAATGGCAAGAGTCCCTCGCCAGGGCCATGGACAGACAGAGCCTGCCCCTGTGGGTGGAGATGGGCAGTTCTGTGCAGGCATTTCCCAAGAAGCCCAACAGATCACACAGGGCAGAGCGCATGTCCACCTCTGGCCTGTAGGATGGGGTACCCTCTAGCCTGAGGCTGGGACACACCAGGAGGCCAGGGTAAATGTGCCCCTACAGGCAGGGGCTGAGGGCTCACTCCCAGGAGGCAGCTGGGAGCAGAGGCTGGAGACCACACTAGCGATCAGAGGAACTTCCTAGGGATATGGATTCCTGGGTGCCGCACAAGACCGCCTGGAGTCTGCATGTGTGATGTGCCTCCATAGGACTGGGGCACAGTCAGGGCCGGCCCAGGGAGAACACAGCCTACCCCTGGGGGACCTGGGAGGCCGTGAGGGGTTAGCGCCCTTAAGGAATAACCACACAGCTGGAGTGTGGGTGGGGGGAGGGCCTGGTCCAGCTCCACTTCCTGTTGGCAGACAGAATGTTCTGGAACTCAGGATGAGCCTGGCCCGCCCACCCCACGCTCAGGGTGCCAGGGCAGGGCTGCCTCTGTCTGGCTCCTCACAGGCCTCCAGGAATCCGGGCAGGGCTCTGCTGGGTGAGGGTGGGGCTTCCTCTGGTTCCAGGCCCTCGCCGCCCTGGCCCTGGGCAATCTCCATGGGCAGCAGGAGCCCACAAATTTCACTTTTCCTGAACTTCCTGGGCTTGGGTTCTGACAGGTCCTCCCAGCAATGACAACTCCTAGAACAAAGGACCTGGCACTGCCTGGTGTGTGGCAGCCCAGCAAGGCCCTTTATCCATCATCCTGCTTCCCTTCCACCACAGCCCCGGGAGGGCAGGCTCACATCCTGATTGGTCCCTAAGGGCCCGAGGCCCAGAGAGGCTGAGAGGCGGCCGAGGTGGCCAGCAGGCCAGGCCCAGGGCTGAGACCCCAGCTCCGGCTCTGCCGCTGAGAGGCAGCTGAGCCTCTGGATCTTGGTTTCTCAGATACCAGCCCCTGTCCTCACCCAGGTCTCAGGCCGGCCCCTATCTGACAACTGACTGAGGAAGGGACCTGTGACTATTCCAGGGTGACCCATCCGCTGTGTGTGGCAGAAACACCTTGATCTTACTGGGCCAGGCAGGTACCAGCGAGGGAGAGGGAAGTGGCCGAACCCAAAGGGACTGGGCACCACGAGGAGGGAGCTCTAATCCCAGCGCCGCTGCCCACAGCCTCTGGGCACTTGGCCGGCACGTCCCTGACTGAGCCGAGTCCTTATGGAAGCACATCGAAAGGCAGGCTCCGGGCGGTCTTGTGGCGGACCCCTTGCCCTGGCCTCTATTCCTTTCTCCGTAAAAAGGAACAAAGCCCTACTTCCTAAAGACGTTATAAGGATTAGAGGGTATTATTAATGTTATTCTTTAACAATTACAATTATTATAACTAATGTTACAATTGTTATAAATATTAATCTTTAACAATCACCTAGGAGTTTTCTAAACTCTTTTTGAATATTAACTCATTTAATTTCTCACCATCACCTTACGAGGTACATTCTATTACTTCTATTTTACAGACAAAGAGGCTCAGAGAGGTGAAGTAATGTACCCAGGATCACAGAGCTCACAGGCAGCAGAGCCGGGATTGGAACCAGAGGAGCCTGTATCCAGAACCTGCACTCTTACCCCTGTGCTTGCTTCCGCTCACTGTGTGAGCCCGTGGTGTCCGCAGAACTACAGGGGATCAGGAAGTGGGGGCTCAGGAGCCATGCCACCTGGCTCACATCCGGCTCTCCACCCTCTGGCCGTGTGCCCTCAGATAAGTTACTTCCCTCCCTGTGCTTCAGTTTCCTCCACTGTAAAACGTGGATACAAATGCAGGGAGGATTCGATGAGGTAAGAGAAGCGCTGTGTCACGCAGCCTGCGCATAGTAGGTCAGGAGCCCTGGGTTCCCGGCTCCCATCCTTACTTGCTATGTGACTCTGAGCAAGTCGTTTTCCCCTTGCCAAGCTTCAGTCTACCCAAGGGTACAGTGACTGGGCTAGCCGATCAGATGGGTGTTTCTGAACCCTGGCTGCCTGGGGAAACACCTGGGGAGCTTTGTAAAAACCACGGTGCTCCAGGCCACACCCTTGGGGTGGGTCCCAGGCCTGGTATTGGTAAAACACACAGTGTGCATCCAGGAGCCTCTAAAGCAGTGGTTCTCAACCTGTGGGTCACGACCCCTTTGGCGGTCGAACGACCCTTTCACGGGGGTTGCCTAAGACCACCCTGCATATCAGATATTTACATTATGATTCATAACAGTAGCAGCATTACAGTTATGAAGTAGCAACGAAAATAATTTTATGGTTGGGTCACAACATGAGGAACTGTATTTAAAAAAGGGCCAGAAGGTTGAGAACCACTGCTCTAAAGTCTGGCCAGCTTGAGATTCTCAGACTTGAACAGGGAGGAGGCAGGAGGAGGCAGGAGGAGGCAGGGGGGAGTAGCGAGCAGTCCCTGGAGCCTTGGGGCGGGGTAAAAAGGGCAGAAATGAGCAGGCTGGGCCTCAAGACTTTGCCCTGTGGCACATTGCCCACTGGGTGTGGGTTATGGCCCAGGAAGTAGTGAGTCTGGACTTAGTCAAGGCCAAGGAGGATGGGTCCCCTCCTGGGAGGGCATGGGAGTGTGAGCACCCAGCTGAGACAGGAAACCCGGGTCCTAGCCCCAAAATAGGGGAACAGTCTGCTGCCCCCCCAGTAGGAGGGAAGACTGACAGCCCCAGGTCGAATCTGATGTGGCTGGCGGGTGGATCACCCTTGCTCCCGTCACGGTCTGAGGGGAGAAGGCTCAGCCCCCCGGGGCCACGGTGACAGGTGTGCCCCTCCATCACCCATCCCAGCCCGGTTCTGTTTTATTCAAATCAAGCAGCTGTCGTGGGCCTGAGTCCAAACCTGCTACCTCCACAGCTGCTTGGAGGGGAAGTGAGCCAAGGATGACACACTCACTGATGGGAGTGGCATCACTGTGCTACTTGGGGCCATGTGCTCGGCTTCCCTCCCACCACAGGTGTCTATGAGAGGTCAGTGCAGCAAGCCTGGTGGGCTTCCTGGAGGAGACTGCGAGTAGACTGGGAATGGCTCTTATCATCTTGGGCGTCTTTCTTCCTGCTTCTAAATAGTGAAAGAGGGGGCTTCCGTGTTGTGGCTCTCTCACCATGTGCAGCATTTAGGACCAAAGCTCTCAGAGCTCAAGCCCCACACCTATCACTCATAAGCTGCGTGAACTTGAGCAAGGGACGTGAGTCCTTTGGACCTCATTCCTTCATTTTTGAGGCAGGGATAGCACAGTTCCTACCTCGCAGAGCTGTTGTGGGATTAAGACAACTGATCTATGCAACATGCTTAGGCCTGTGAGCACGAACAACAGAAGTGGCAGCTGGTACCTTCCTCCTCAGTGCACGTGCCCGGCCCACCTAGGCAGTGCCAGGGATGCAGCAGGCACCTCATCAACACCCAACAACCTGCCATTCCTGGCTTTCCTACGTCTCTCTGAGCTGGGAAGGGGAGGGACTGCTGCCCACACTTGGCTGAACAGGCCAGTGGAGAATGTAAGAGGCTTTCTCAAGGTCAGGGCTGAGGGAAGGGCCCAGGATGGGAGAACAAGCCTCCCCACCTCCCAGTGTTCTCCAGACAACAGCTGCTTTGTCTGGGGAGGGAGAGAAAATTCCTTCCGGAACCCCCGCAGCAGCCAGTCAGCGGCAGGACTGGGCAGGGCCAGAGGTCAGCTGGGAAAGTGACCAGCAGCTCTGGAGCTGAAGTCCTTGTGGACCAGCCCTGCCTGCGCCTGGCCCTCCCTTCCAGGGCCGGCAGGGCAGGGGCAGTGAGGGCTCCTTACGCAGGACAGAGATGAAACTGCTCCTGTCGGCCAGGATCCACACCCCGAAGCCCAGGATCACTCCGCCTAGGATCTGGAAGAAGAAGAAGAAGAAGGGGGCGGTTAATGCGGGGACTGAGAGCAGGTGGGGGAGAGAACCCTGCCCAGCTGTCCCTGTAGCCCAGGCCAGGGGGATACAGGGGGGCCACCGCCATCCTTGCCCAACCCAGGATGTCAAAGTGGCCTCAGGCCCCGAACCCCAAATCCCAGTGAACCCAGCAATCCAGATAGCAGGACCATGGTGGGGAGTCCCTCCTGCCTCCAGTCTCCCCATGACTGTGTGAGGAGCACAGCCTCCTGCCAGGGTGCCCTCTGACTTATCTCCTCGCCCTTTTCCACACTCAGCGCTCATCCTCTCCACTCCAGCCCAGCTAGGGGGCTGGGAGTCTCCCAAACAAGCCAGGCTCTGGGGAGGACCCCCATGAACTTGAACTCATTAAAACCCACCTTGTCCTTCAGAGCTTGGCTCCAAGGCCTCCTTCCGCAGGAGCCTCCTGACTCCCCCGGGCAGATTTAGGGGCTCCTGTGGCAACCACTGTGGGACCCTTCAAATAGGCATTCCACTGGGTTTAACTACCATGCGTGACTCTCTGGTTAGACTGCGCGCCCCCGGAGGGCAGGGCAAGGTTGCACGCAGTGTGTACCTGCACCAGGGGCTGAGGGCTCAGGAAATAAATGAGTCCATGAACCCAACTGTGAATGCAGGAGTAGAAAGGCAAAGGAATGAAGCATGGCAGGCGTGGGCACAGGCCCAGGCCCAGGAATTTCCTGCCTCTCCCCTCACCAGGGCAGTCCCACAACCTGAGCCCACCTCCCAGATGGAACCCCCCAAGCCAGTTAAGGCGGGGAAGTGCCTACAGTCTGGACAAAACTATAGGTTCTCTGGGTGGGAAGCTGCATCACCCCTTATGACTGCCCTTGACCTGGGGCCTGGCCTGGGCCCACCTAGGGATAACCCATCGCCCACCTTTACCACTGGCCCTGGGTTCCCACCTCAGCCATCACCCCCTAGCCCTGGGCACAAGATCAGCAGCTGCCCCTAAAGCCCTCAGCCTGGGGTTAGCATCCCAGCCCGGGTTTGGTTAGCCCTGCTCCACTGTCACTGAGGACCAGAGCTGGGACCCTGAGGAAGGCAAATGGGCATTTGCTCCAGGTGTTAAAAATTAAGGCGACACCAAAAGACTCACCAAGATAAATAAGAGTTTACAGCAAGTATTTAAAAACAAAATTAATGCAAAAAATCCATGATGAGCAAAATAGTTCTAAATGAAAACTGTCTCAGTATTACTGATTTTTCCTTTTAAAAATATTTTTATTGATTTTTAGAAAGAGAAAGGGAGAGGGAGAGAGACATTGGTGTGAGAGAGAAATACCCATCAGTTGCCTCCTTCTGCAATGCCCTGCCAGGGATTGAGCCTGCAACCCAGGCATGTGCCCTGACTTGCTGGAATCAAACCAGCAACCTTTCGGTGCATTGGACAACACCCAACAAACTGAGCCACGCCAGCCGGGGCCGATTTTTCCTTTTGACGAGGAGTGGGCCCCCAATGTGGCGTAGCACGGCACTGTTTCTGATCCGGAAGTGAGCACCTCACTCGCCCCACCCTAGTCCAGGCCCCTTAAAGACAGCAGCAGGTGATGATCATGGAGATGAAGGCAGATGACCACCCCGCATTGTTCCCCAGTCTCCCAGCAGCTCACTCGTCCCTCTTCTCTCCTTGGCAGATGGGCCCTGTTATTGTTTTCCTTTTACAGGTGGGGATACTGAGGCCCTGACCTTGCTCAAGGTCATCCAATTCATCCACCAGGGGCTCAAAGCCAGGTCTGACTGTTAGGCTGGGTCAGATGGTGGCACCTCAGCTACAGGGATAATTGGGGTCTGTCCTGGGCTTTAGCCCAGAAAGCCAGTCTCGGTGGAGGGAGGTGCGGGGGAGGAGAAGGTACCCTCATGTGGGGGTGCCTCAGACTGCACAGCTTACTGGGACGAAGGAGAAGGGGCTTTACAGAACCTGGCAGTTAGGTTCCCAAAGACTCCTGAATCCCTGCCCTCCCCACCCCAAACCTCACAGCACAGCTGGGCAAGCACCCCAGTCAGGCCCAACATCTGTTCCTGTCACCTCAAACCCACGAGGGAGAGGGAGACCCTGCCTCACCCACCTCCCGCACTCACCGGGCAGGGCAGGGTGGGGAGAGCCACCCTTCCAAAGAGGGATGAGAGGCGGGGCAGAAAATTCCCTCAGGGCAATTGTAATCCCAAACAGAGCAAATCCCAGACTGCCCACTAAGCTCCTGGCTCTCCTAGAGAAACCCCGGGCCAGTCCCCGTGCGGCTCTGTCAGCTTCTCTGCAGGTCCGATGACTGCAGCCTGACCCGCAGGTATGGCAGGTCAGCCACCAGGTCCTGCTCCAGCCAGAAAGGAGGCCAGGCCAGGTGGCTGACCAGAATGGGGGAGGCACCACGGTACCCCCTCTCTCTGAGAACCAAGTCTGGGGCCCCGGGACACACCCCACATGAACCCCCTCCCCAGCTCTACCACAATCTGCCCCCCTCCCCAGGGCTGGGCCAGAACCCTGATAGTCAGTATTCTTCCTCCAGCAGCCTCAGGGTTCTCTGATGTCAGAAAAGCTGATGGGGCAATTTATGAGGAGTCTGGGTCAGGAAGGTGTAGGCAAAAACATACATGCACGTGTCCACGTGTGCATGTGAGAGCATACACGGCAGCCAGAGCAATAGTTCCAAACCACAAGTCCGACCACGTGACTGCTTCCCACTGTGCATCAAACGAAGATCAGAATCGCTCTGGGAAGCCTGCGGGCTGTGCCCTGGAGAGGCAGCCCCTGTCCTGTTCCCCGCTGGCCTCAGTTCCTGCTGCTGCGACCCTCTCTCCCCAGCCACACGGAGCTCCAGGAAGTTCTGCTGAGGTCAAGCGCCTTATCGGCTCTCCTAGGGCCACATCCTTCCTTCCCAGAACCTACAACTGCGATTTCATCACCCGTTTGGGTAAGTCTGTCTGGAGCCCACCACCGCCCGGGACATAAGCCCCATGACCGGCTCTGCTGCTGGTTAGTGTGTACCTGGCACCCCCACAGGGTGTGAGTACACAGAGGTGTCAAATACAGCTGGTGGACAAGTGAACAGCAAGCACACACTGTTGCCTCCAGCTCTCCTTTCCTCTGTAATAGACGCTTCCCTCCCCACCACACCCCCACATCCTGAGGGGCCATGCTGGCCCCAGCACACAGGGAGTTAACAGCTGACTCCCGCCAGCCCCCTGGAGTAGCTGGGAGGGAGCCAAGCCCCAAGAGCAGCCCCAGGCTCTGGCCAGAGAGAATTTTCCAGTCGCTGGCTGCATAGGGCTGCCTAGTAGAACAGGAAAGGACAGTCGGCCAAAACCATCAAGCCCGAGGCCTCTCGCTGCAAAGTCTCTACCCTCCCTCCTCCTGCATGGGGAGCGGGGGTCTACAGCCCTGAACCCCAAGCAGCGTCACTATCTTTAGGATATAGTCTAGACCCCTCTCTCCTGTCCCTAGACCCCTCCACCCCGTCCCCCACTGGCCCTAGAAACCAGGGAGCCTCCTGCCTGCTAGGGAAGGCTTGGCTCCAGCTGCTTGGGCAGCTGCTTTCCACAGACCTGGCCAGCCAGGAGGGCCGGACTGCCAAGCTGGGGAAGCCCAGGTGCCCAGGCCCTGCCCGGGTGGCTCCCAGGCCTGGCTGCCATCAGTGAAGGGCTCAGCGTGGTGCTCAGGAGGGAGGGGGGCTGGAGCCAGGGTGGTCCATATGCATGTGCATGTACATGTGTGACATGTGTGAGCTTACATATGCCAGGAACTCACTTGTAAGTATCTGTGTGTTGAGTTCAAGTTATAAAGAGGAATTTAGATTGATTCTTTATTTTCTAAACTTTCCGTAATCCTAGGTAACTTGTAATATAAAGCAATTTCCCCCCCACAAATAATTCATATCTATTTAGAACATTTGAAAAATGCAGAGGCACAAAGAATAAACCCCAAATTCCCAGGAATCCAACATTAACATTCAGAGGTATTTTTTTCTTCTCTTAAAAATATGCATGCATGTGTATAATTTTTAAAAATAAAATTGGTTCATAAGAAACATCCTATTGCAGAACCTGATTTTAACAGCATGGGATGAACGAGCATGGAAAGGCTGCAGCCCCCAGCACTAGTCCGGGCTGTGAAGGCCCCTCTAGGTCACTCTCACCCCCATCCCATCACACACACATCATACACACGTTCTCATGCACATATTCTCTCTCCCTCACACACTCACGCATATACACTCCTACTCATACACCCTCACACATTCATATACTCTCTCTCACACACACCTACTCATACTCTCTCACACACACATACACACCTACTCATACACTCTCTCTCACACAACACACACATACACACTCATACACCCTCTCACACACTCATATTCATACACTCTCTCACACACATACTCATACACTCACACACACACACAAATACTACTCATACACTCTCACATACATACTCATACACTCTCTCACATACCTACTCATATACCCTCTCTCACACAACACACACACACACACACACACACACACACACCCCATCATCCTGGCAACTCCAAGGCAGAGGAGTCAGTCGGCGCCAGACCAGCAAAGAGAATCAAGGCCCCAGAAAAACCAGGTCCAGATGTGCATGGAGCTCACATCTGGGCGTCCCCTGGCTCAGGGACCTGGTGATGCCTGCCAGGTTGGGTCTGGGGAGAGGGAACTGTGCCTCCCCCTGGCCCAGAGCCCAGCCCCCTCACACCCTCTGGGATTCAGGGCACAGCCCCCACACACCCTCCAGGACTCAGGGCACAGCCCCCACACACCCTCCAGGACTCAGGGCACAGCCCCCTCACACCCTCTGGGACTCAGGGCACAGCACCCACACACCTTCAGGGACTCAGGGCACAGCACCCACACACCCTCCAGGACTCAGGGCACAGCGCCCACACACCCTCCAGGACTCAGGGCACAGCCCCCTCACACCCTCTGGGACTCAGGGCACAGCCTCCACACACCCTCAGGGACTCAGGGCACAGCCTCCACACACCCTCCGGGACTCAGGGCACAGCCCCCTCACACCCTCAGGGACTCAGGGCACAGCACCCACACACCCTCAGGGACTTAGGGCACAGCCTCCACACACCCTCAGGGACTCAGGGCACAGCCTCCACACACCCTCAGGGACTCAGGGCACAGCACCCACACACCCTCAGGGACTCAGGGCACAGCCGCCACACACCCTCCGGGACTCAGGGCACAGCCTCCACACACCCTCAGGGACTCAGGGCACAGCCTCCACACACCCTCCGGGACTCAGGGCACAGCCTCCACACACCCTCAGGGACTCAGGGCACAGCACCCACACACCCTCAGGGACTCAGGGCACAGCCACCACACACCCTCCGGGACTCAGGGCACAGCCTCCACACACCCTCAGGGACTCAGGGCACAGCCCCCTCACACCCTCAGGGACTCAGGGCACAGCCCCCACACACCCTCCGGGACTCAGGGCACAGCCTCCACACACCCTCAGGGACTCAGGGCACAGCACCCACACACCCTCAGGGACTCAGGGCACAGCCTCCACACACCCTCCGGGACTCAGGGCACAGCCTCCACACACCCTCAGGGACTCAGGGCACAGCCTCCACACACCCTCCGGGACTCAGGGCACAGCCTCCACACACCCTCCAGGACTCAGGGCACAGCCCCCTCACACCCTCAGGGACTCAGGGCACAGCCTCCACACACCCTCCGGGACTCAGGGCACAGCCCCCTCACACCCTCAGGGACTCAGGGCACAGCCTCCACACACCCTCCAGGACTCAGGGCACAGCCCCCTCACACCCTCAGGGACTCAGGGCACAGCCTCCACACACCCTCAGGGACTCAGGGCACAGCCCCCTCACACCCTCAGGGACTCAGGGCACAGCACCCACACACCCTCAGGGACTCAGGGCACAGCCCCCTCACACCCTCAGGGGCTCAGGGCACAGCCCCCTCACACCCTCAGGGGCTCAGGGCACAGCCCCCTCACACCCTCTGGGACTCAGGGCACAGCCTCGACACACCCTCAGGGACTCAGGGCACAGCCCACACACACCCTCTGGGACTCAGGGCACAGCCCCCTCACACCCTCCAGGACTCAGGGCAGCCTCCACACACCTTCAGGGACTCAGGGCACAGCCCCCTCACACCCTCAGGGACTCAGGGCACAGCCCACACACACCCTCTGGGACTCAGGGCACAGCCTCCACACACCCTCAGGGACTCAGGGCACAGCCTTCACACACCCTCAGGGACTCAGGGCACAGCCCCCTCACACCCTCAGGGACTCAGGGCACAACCTTCACACACCCTCAGGGACTCAGGGCACAGCCCCCACACACCCTCAGGGACTCAGGGCACAGCCTTCACACACCCTCAGGGACTCAGGGCACAGCCCCCACACACCCTCAGGGACTCAGGGCACAGCCCCCACACACCCTCAGGGACTCAGGGCACAGCCTTCACAGTGCAGGTGGGAGCGTGGTGAGGGCAGCTGAGGCCAGAACTGAAACAGGCAAGTTCTCAGAGGGGCAGAGGAAGGTGGTGGGTCAGGGTAGGACAAGAAGGATCCAGAGACACCCCCTCACGCACAGTTCCCTGATGACAAGGATTTAGGCGATGCCCAGAGGGCTTCCTTCCCCTACACCAGGCTCCAGCCCTGGCAGCCTGGTCTGGCCTCAGTACCCCAGGAGAGGGGAACGCTGGGCCAGGAGTCCAGGGCTCTGCATGGAGCCAGCTGGGCATGCCAGGAATCTCCTTCTCACCCGAGCCGGTTCCACTTGGAATGGTCTGCCCTCAGCCCGCACCTACCACACCCACCACCATCCCCAGGCCTGGTAGCTCCGCAGGGTCTCAGGGTGGGATGCACCAGGGATCAGAGTCCTGTTGGAGACAGCCAAGCAGGGCTGGCCATACTTACAAAGAAGAGCAAGTTGAAGAGGAAGAGGAAGTATTTGGTGACTTTGATGCAGGCTGACCCCATCCTGCCGGCCCTGGAGCTCCCTGTGGAGAGAGAAGGCAGGTAGGTCAGTAGCGGGTGGGGCTGGGTGGGGCAGGAGGGAGAGAGAACCAATGCTAGTAGGCACCGACCATCTGCTGGCCCCAAATCCTCACAACAACCCAGGAGGTAGTACTAATATGAGGTCCCGTTTTACGGCACCTTGAGGCCCAGAGAGGTTAGATGACGGGTCCAAAGCCACACAGCTGGGAGGTATGGTCCTGAGTAGTCTCGGCTGTTAGATGCTTGGCAGTCAGGGTCTGGGTCAGCCACTCTGCTGGGGCCAGGCCTGGAGGGAAATTATAGAGGAGAACCTCAGGGTCTGAGACTTGCCCAGATGGGCTCATGGAAGTCCAGGAAGTTAGTGAGTGGCTGCTGGACACCCAGAGGGTGAGACCTGTGGCTTGTCCCACACATTTTCAGATCCTCTCTGACACAGCTCATGCTTCTGAACAACACACACCACGCTTCGGCACGCTGGGACCCTTTACTCAGGACCCCAGGCCAGGGCAGGACTGGGACGGAAGGGGGAAGCTGCAAGCTGGCTGCCCCTGTGCCCTCCCCTAGGCCAGACAACCCAGGAATGGCAACAGCCAGCTCTCAGGCCCTGAGGGGTGAAGGGAACCAGAGCCAGGCGGTTAGGGCTGGGACAGCTGGCCAGGGCAGCTGCAAGGCTAGAGCCAGGCTGGGGGTGGGGGAAGCAGGCACCAGACGCAGCCATGTTCCCACCACCCTATGAAAGCGGGGGTGGGGGGTGGGGGGAAACAGAGCAGAGAGAATAGGGGCCCGGAGGCCCCAGGTGCGGGGTTCACCCCTTCCTGCTCTTGCAGGGTGAAGGGCATCCGAAGTCATGGGAATCTCCCCTGTCCATGCGGAGGTCCCTCATGTGCTCTGGACATAATAACAATCTTCCATCATCCCTGCCAAGTAGACGCTCAGCTTCCACTTCATACTTCCAGGGACAGGGGCAGGGGGGCAAGGGGAGGGCTCACGGCCGCCCAGGGGCCCAGCTGAGGTTCCTAACACCCCTGTCTTTAGCTAGCTGCCTTTCTAGGGGTCAGATTTGGGCCCATGAAGCAAAGCCACCCGAAGAAGGGAAAAGGCTGCCTGGCTGGTGGGGAGCGCCCCGTCACAATTGTCATGGAAACAAAGTCTGAGCCAAGACGTAGGGGGTTCAAGTGCTACATGGGGAAACTAGACTAAATGGCTCTTCCAAGCCACGGGGGTCCAAGGTCTGGGTCTGAGAAATGCAAAGAGGCAGTGACTTAGGAACCATGAAAATCCAGCCTTAGCAACTCTGCCTGGGACCTCCCCAAGACCCCGAGGGAAGAAAACAGGCCCGCCACCCCCGTGTCAGGAGACACAGAGATCTGAGAGTAGGCCTGCCGGGGGCCGGTCCGCATACAGGAGAGCTACTGTTTTCCACTGGCCCCTCCCAGCACAGCGCCTGACACGCCACAGGCACTTCACAAACTTGCAGGGAACAAAGAGCCAGCAAGGAAAGATCCTCCCATGGAGGGAGGCATGCTTGTCTTTCCTCCCAGGACCGGCCTGCCCGCCTGGGTTTTCTCCCAGTAAATGACACGTGATGCCCGCCCCACCGGCTGACACAGGCCCAGCCAAACGGCCTGTAGATAAAATAGTCAGAATTTCACCAAAAGGACTTTTCAGTAACCACGTCCCAGGGTTGAGGGGCCCAGAGGCACGAGCTGGTGCCAGTTGGTTCTTGTGAAACTGGAGACGTTTGGAAACAGCCCTTTGGCAACTGCAGCGGCCTCGGAGCCTGGGAAGGGAGTTTGTATACTTTCCGGCTCCCACATCCTCCTCTCGGGCCAGGTGTCCAGGCAGCTTTTAAAAATTTTTTGCTAATGTTTTTTCTTTTCCATTGATTTCAGAGAGAGAAAGGGAGGGGGAAGCACTAGAAAACATGAATGATTTGAGAGAATCATTGATCAGAGGCCTCCTGCACACCCCACACTGGATATCAAGCCTGCAACCCAGGCATGTGCCCTGACCGGTAATCAAACCGGGACCTCCTGGTTCATGGGTTGACACAACCACTGAGCCACACCGGCCGGGCTGGGATGGGGCAGCTTTTAGACAAGAGTGAATACCAGGCCTGCCCAGTAAGCAGGAATGGCAGCCTGTGAACAGCCATTGGCCTCAGTCATCCTTTTAATCCTCAGAACCTGCCCAGAAGGTGGGAAGGCGAGGAGGGGATTCCTATCCTGGGGAGGGGGTGGGACAGGCTCAGGGAGGTGCAGTCACTTGCCCAAGTCACACAGCTCCTTAAGCAGCCCGAGACCTTCCCACCATGAAACCCTGTCTGCAGGGAGTGGTTGCCACTGTGTCTGGGGTGGCTGGGATTCCGTTGACCAGGCAGGTGGCAAGGACCAAGGTAACTGACTGCTCAAAGGCGCTCTGGTTTGGTGGGCAAGGAGGAGGCAGAGGCTGCTGGGCTGGCATCCCCAATACTCCGGCCCCCAGATCACTTTATTGGTCTCTTGGTCACTCACACAAACTGTACCAAGCGTTGGGCAAAGCCTTTCAACATCCTACAATCAAACTAAGGCACAGAGCACAGGGGGGTAAAAGAGCGTGTCCAGTTACCAGCATGTGGACCGGCCAAGGCAGAACCCAGGCCGCTGAGCCCTTGGGCCGCCCCCTCCTCTTCAGGAGGCAGCTGGCTGGGTTTAGATGCTGGAGCTGGAGCCAGGCAGCCCCATGACTGGCGGGCAGCTTGGCCAACCGGGGTAGGTGCAGAGGCTCCCTGGGAATCGCCTGAGAGAGGAGAAGGTGCTGAGAACCAGAGTCTGGGGTGGGTGGCTCCTGGGCTCGTGGGCCAAGATCCAGGATGCAAAGTCTTTCTGCCTAGACATTTCCCTTTAAGCCACAGGGAGCAGGGCTCTCCACACCCGAGAGGAGGTGTGTGGATCCATGAAGGGCAGGGGGTCAGCGCAGGCTGGGAACACACCCAGGTTGCCCCACGATGGCGTGTGGCATCAACTTTAGGGAGCCCACCACCACCACCAGGCCCCAAGGAGAGTCCAAAGTTGGAATCAGAGGGCTTAGATTCCATTCTAGCTCCACCTGCTCATGCTGAGGGTCTGAGCCTCAGGCTCCTCATTCACAGATATGAATAAGGGCTAGAGTAGGACAGAGGGTGGCCTGCCCGGCCTGTAGATCAAATCCAGCCCATCCTTATGTTTGTATGGCTTGCAAAGTAAGAACAGATTTTACATTTTTAAATAGTTGGGGGAAAATAAAAAGAAGAGTATTGGTAACACATGAAGTTGAAATGTCGGTGTCCATAAATAAAGTGGGTTGGCACATGGCCACACCCTCTAGTGTGTCTCGGAGGCTGCTATGGCGCTGTGGGGGCAGGGCAGCTGCGGCAGACCCTCGGGCCATAGAGCCCAACACATTTACCGCCCGGCCCCTTATGGGAAAAGTTTGCCGGTCCCTGGTGTAGGGGAGCAAATGGTGGTGACACAGGATCCCCGGACACGGTGCAAATCCCGGCTCTGCCAGTCCATGGCCACAGGGAAAGGACTTCCGGGGCCTCGTTCTCTTCACCTGTAGAGTGGGGCTCCCAGCTGAAGCCCCTGTTATAAAGACGGGGAGGTCACACCTGGCAGTCAGGACTCCTGAGCGGAGCTGGCTAGGCCTCTATATTGGGACTTCTGGGAGAAGTGAGGGTGAGCGTCTCATTTGCATATGAAATTCAACAGAGAGCCTCTCCCGGTGTTATGCTTCCTTGTATACACTTTCTATAAACACTGGAGGGTCTGCCCACGCTTTCCTATGAGGATGTTTGACAGCCACAAAACAAGCACCTTTTATCTGGAAAATTCCAGAACAGTCACTGACAGCTGTGTGAGCAGTAGGAGGAAGAAGGTACTAATTTTATGTTAGGCTTTATAGCGGGTAAATGGACCATTTCTAAGCATCTATCATTTAAATTGACCATATATATAGTTTTATGCCAAATCAGTTTGTACAGTGAAATTACTATGCTAATATGTTATTAACACCTACTCATCCTTCAGTCTCACCTCAGACACCCACCTCCTCCAGGAGCCCTCCTACGCCAGCCAGCCCTACCACCACTGCCACGGCCACCCCTCCCCGGGAACCAGCACTCGTTGGTTAGGGGTGTGCCCTCTCTGCTCCCTTCCAGTAGCACTGGGTGCTGGAGCTGTTTCCAGAACAGGCTCTGGCATCAGACTGCCTGGGTTCGAATGGGATCCTATCACCTCTTAGCTGTGTGACTTTGACAAAGAAATTAACCTCTCTGAGCCTCACCTTACTCATCTGTGAAAAGAGGAAAATGAAATCTATTTGGCAGATTTGCTCAGACGATGTGGGTAAAGTATCTGGCATGAGGTAGGCTTTCAATAAATGGAGGTTACTATTCCAACTCAGAATGCTGTACAGTAATTTTCTACTCACTTGTCCATCTCCCCTAGGGGTTGTGGGACCTTGAGGGGAAAGACAATGTATTGTTTATGAGAACAAAGTAGGCTCCCAGAAAATGTTGCCAATGGGAGCATGGGGGGATCGAGGGCTAGCAGGATGGAGTGTGGATAGAGGGAGGGATGGATGGATGGATGGATGGATGGATGATGGATGGATAGAGGGAGGGAGGGAGGAGGGAGGGAGGGAGGGATACAGGGATGGATGGATGGAGAGGTGAAAGGGAGGGGAAAGAACTTCCACTTCGAATACCAGGACTTTCAAGTATTCAACCGCCTGAAAGGGGGTGAGACCCACTGGCCCTGGGTCAGCTGAGACTCTCTTTTCAGGCCTCTTCTGTCCTCACCTAAGGGATGAGTGGGGGTTGTGTAGGGTGAGCACCCAGGGCCAGCTCTGAAAGTCAGACCCACTCCCAAGGCTCCCTTGCCTTCCCCGGAGCCCCTGCACCTGTAGAGGAGGAGGCTTGGTTTGTCCCTCAGCTGAGGAGGAGGAGGAGCCTTCCACCCTGACCCTAGAACCTGGATGTCCCCCCCTAGCCTTGGGGACACTGGGTGGGGCCTGCAGCATGGTACCTCGAGGCCCAGAGTCAGGAGGTGCGGGCGGGCGGAGGCCTGCTCTGATGGCTCACTCAGTAGGAAACCTAGCACAGGTGACTGTCCCCACTGTCACCCTCCCACTCACACGCCCACCCCACCCTCCTCACCTGTGAAATGACAGGACCAGAGCAGTGTTGCTGGAGTAGTTCCTCCGAATACGAGTCCTAGGAGATCCCTGTTAAGAACAAAAAGTTTTGCTGTCACCAAGTTTGTGAAGCAACAGTTCTCTCCTAGAGTCACCCATATTAGGCTGTTAAGGACTCCACACTTAGCAGCCGCGATAAACACCGCTGACTTAAAACCATTGTTGACTTAATAGCCCTTACCACCAGGTGGAACACATCCTGGTCAGCTCTTGAGGTCCCTGGGGGGCCGGTGCTCCAGGATTCTAAGTACCCTCTCCCTTCAGAGGAGTGGCCGAGATGGCCCTTCCATCCTCCAGCTGAACACCTAAGAGCCTCAGGCAGGTCTCTGCCTCCTCCTCACCTCCCACAGCCCAATCCAGGGCCCCTCTCGGCCCCACGCCTCACCTCCCCCTGGACCAGGACAGTTCCCTGGCTGGTCACGGGTTCCACTCCTGCCCTTCCCAATCCGTTATCCACCCCCCAGGAAGGGCTTTGCAAAATGCAGGCCAGACCTTGCCGCTCCCCAACCCTGCAACCCTGCAACCCTGCAACGGTGATACAGCCGAGAGGTTTGCTATAACATCCGTGCTCTGTGTGGCCTCCGGAGCCCTGCCTGGTGTACCCTGCCCACCTCTGTCCTCTGCACCGCCCCCTTCCCTCCCATACACACGTTCATTCCTCGGGCCATAAAGGCCATGCTTTCCTGTTGTTCCAGTAGAGCAGGCCCTTGTCCACCGCAGGCCCTTGACCGGCCTCTTCTCCCATGACCACTCCTCCCCCAAAACCCCAGGCTGGCTCCTAACCTCCTTGTAGGCTGAGCTCTCTCCTCCCAGAGGCCTTCCCTGAACACCTCATCTACTCACGGGGCCTCACCCCCAGCTGCACATCAGAACCAAAACATGCCAATGCCGGCCCCCCCTCCCTAGCCCACCAAGTCATCAAGATCTTGGGGGAACTCCCCCAGTGACTGTCCAGAGCAGCAGCTTTGACACGTGGCCCTGTCACACGCCCTGTTTCGCTGCATTTGTTCTCTTGGTTCACTACTGTGTCTGCAGCCCCCATTAGAGTCTGGCTCCTAGAGGGGAGGGGCTGGGTCTGTCTTATTCACCCGATACCTCAGAGCCTAGGACAGTGCCCAGTACACAGCAAGCACTTAGTATGTATTTGCAGGAAAGGAAACGGGGGCCGGGCAGCCTGGAGAGGTCAGGAAAGGTTTCTTAGAGAAGATAAGACAAACCGACTTTGAAACTGCAGATGGAGGTTTCTAGTCCTTAGAAATGAAGTGGCTGGCTTGGGCGGGGGGAGGGGCCGGAGGGGGTTGCTTCCCATAAGAGTGGGATTTTAATCTCCTTTGGGTCAGAAAAGCCAGTGGAAGCTGTGAACTGTCTCCCAAGAAAGATGCGCGCAGTGGGGCAGGCAGATGTGTCATCTGGCCAGGGGGTCACTAAGCAGGGAGAGCCAGGAGGTACACACTTGCCTTTTGTCTGGAGCAGTGGCCCGCAGTCATGGCTGCACTCAGGAATTACCCTGGCAGCTCTGAAACTGGCCGGTGCCTGAGACCCCTCCCAGAGATGCTGATATAATTGGTCCAGGATTTTTTAAAGCTTTCCTGGGCACTCTAATGTGTGAGATCCACTGCCGTAGGCCCCATCCCCAGCATGGCCCGGTCCCTCTGCTGGGAGTGGGATGCAGGCAGGCCTGGGATCCCAGTGCAGCAGAGCCTGGCCAGGGAGAATTCCCACAAAGCTCCCGCACCCCTGCTCCATCCTTGACTTCCTCAGGAGGCACAGCCCCCTGAGTCACGAACTCCAGAGCAATGTCCGCTCTGTGGGTGAAGACCTTTCAGATCAGTGCATTTTTCAAAGGGGGCCGGAGGGAGCAAGAGCCTGCAGGTCACACAGTAAAATCAGGGCTGAGCACATGGTAGGGGCCTGGGAGAGTCTGGGTCCAGAGCTCTTCTCCCTCCATCGGCGGCCCTGTCCCAGCTCACCAGGCCTTCGGCATAGGAAGGTATGAGAACTGACCTCAGTCACATGGTGACCCTTGGTTCCCTCCCTGGACCTATCATACATCAGCCACAAAGCCCTGGGAGTCACTGCAGACCTACCTCCTTATCAGTGAATGGGGATCCCAAACCCGCCCACCCACACTGGTGTGACGGTGACCTGCTATCAGGCTAGCACCCGGGAGGGCTCAGACCATGCTGGCACCCTAGCCCACTCCTTCTCTCCCTGCCTGAAATGCCAAATCGGCTGCGTCTTACCAGCTGTGTGGCCTTGGGCAACCACTTCACCACTGTGCCTCAGCTTTCCCACCTATAAAATGGACTTAATAATGGGTTATGATGAGACTGACATGAATTAGTACCTGAAAAGTTCCTGGCACCCAGTAAATGTCAAATAAATGCTACCAATTACAATGATGACGACTAGTCTCCGGAAGCTGTTCGTGTCCACCAACAGTCTGAAAGCCCTCGGAGGGGCTTGACCAGCCTCCAGATGTGTGCCCAGCCTGGAGGGCTCCGTGCCAGAGGGTGACTGACGCTGCTCTGAGGCATGGGGTTGGGGGTGAAGTTAAACAGGGCTGGGCTGGGCCGCCTAGGGAAGGAGGGCCTCTGCCCTCACAGGGGAGGGGCCTCTGTCTCTGAGCCTCTGGCTGTGCCTAGGGGCCTGTCTCAGGCCTGGAGGTCCAGCCAGTCTGGTGAGTTGGACAACTGATCCCGTGGGAGCCCGGGCTGCCTCCTTGGGCAGAAAGTGGAGGGAGAGAGCCTGGCCTGGCCGCTCCGCTTGGAAGCCCACCTGTGTGCGGGCACTCCACCTGCAAGCCTGTTCCTGGCCACCCGGCTCTCCGGTGCCTGGACTTTGTCTCGATCACCCATGCAGAGGCTGGTCACAGGTGGCTGTGTTTGTTTTCACATGTGACAGGTGATGTGTTTCCTGAAAACATGGCTGACTCCAGGGACTGGCTTTTTGAACTCTTCACTATCTTATTTTTCAGCCTCTGATCTTGGGTGTGTGTGTGTGTGGGGGGGGGGGGGGGGTTGTTGTTGTTGTTGCTGTTGTTGTTAAAACAAAAGGAGAAAAACAAAAGTAAAAGGCTGTTACTCTGGGAAACAGAAAAATCGTGAGGCCACCAGCATGATTAGGATCTCAAGTTTCCTCCAAGACCTGGGTGTGAGTCCCAGCTCTGCTTCCTACTAGCTGGGTTGTGACCTTGAGCAAGGGAGTTATTAAACCTCCCAGAGCCCAACGTCTCATCTCTAACACAGGGACACTAGCAGGACCCCTGTCTCGTAGGATTGTTGGGGGACTGAGATAAGGTGCGTAAAGAGCTTTGGGGAAACTGTCAGTTGCTCAATATAAGTGAGCAAATCCCACCGCCGCCGCCATCATGGCTTGGAAGAAACATACTCAGATCAGACCCTCCCAGGAATCATGGGATTTCAGAGCCCCAAGGACTCCTTTCTTCTTACTGATGAGAACTCGGGGTTCCATGAGGAGCAGCTCCTGCCATATGATTCCCGCCACGTGGGAAATAGGCTCCCATTCTCCTGAGGACTTAACACCCTGGAGCTGGGACTGACCCCTGGCAGCTGGGGGAAGACCAAGGGTACCAGAGAAATGTAGGCAGCAGCCACCCCTGGCCAGACGTGGCAAAGGAGGGGCAGCACTTTATAGTTTGTATCATGCCATTCCCACCGTGCCTCATTTCATCTAATACCCTACCCTTGGGATATCATTGTCCCCATTTAACAGAGAAAAAAACTGAGACTCAGAGGTTCCGTGGCTTGCCTGAGGTCACACAAGTAAGTGGCCAAACCCTAATTAAAACTCAGGTCTAGCCTTGGCTGATGTGGCTCAGGAGATTGAGCATTGTCCCATGCACTGAGAGGTTGCTGGTTCAATTCCTGGTCAGAGCACATGCCTGGGTTGTGGGCTTGATCCCCAGTTGGGCGCGGGGGAGGGGACATGCAAGAGGCAGCTGATAGATGGTTCTCACTCATCGATGTTACCCTCTCTCTCCCTCTCCCTTTCCCTCCCTCTCTAAAGACGTCTCAGTGGACGTCCTCTGCTCAGAGTTTCCGACCTGCTGCCTGTGGGAACGAGGTAGATGGTGGGGTCTGCCTACCCTACCCTTCCATACCTCTGTTTTCCTGCCTGGTCTCCTGCCCTCTCCCAGCTCTGAGGCCTGACTCTTAGCTTCCTGTCAGGAAGGAAAAGATCAGCCCCACCAAATCTGGCCAGGTGTTCCTTCAGTGTGCCTGATGAGGCTAACAGATGTGGCCTTTCCCAGCACATTTTGCTCCGAATCCCACGCAATGAGACTGGAGAGCCTTCAGCATCAAGAAGGGCTCCCCTCTGGCAGCGTGGGGAAGAGCACACACCTGGAGCCTTTCAGCCTCCCCATCTGGCCCTCACGCAACCAAAGACTCAAGTTGAGGCGGAGTCATTGCCTTTGGCCTCTCCTTCTCCATGCCTCCCTTTCTTGATGTTTTTGGTCTTCTCAGCGGGCTGCTTGGGCCCCATGCAGACCCTGCTCCCTCCCAACACTGGGTTCTAAGGCTCACACACTCAGATCACAGTGCCAAACTCACCTACATTGGTCCCCATTTCTCAGATGAAGAGACTGTGGCCCAGAGAGTACCACAAATCCCTACCCTTATGGGGAAAGTGTGTGTTCAGTGTGTATGGTGGGGCAGGGAGGGGACTGGTTAGAGCTATCAGTACTTCCCAACCAGTTTCACATCATGATACCCAGAGAGAAGTAACCATATTTGTTCAGTACACTGGGGTGACCGGTCGAGGGCAAAGGAGAATCTCAACACATCTGTAACGCATTTGGGCCTATCAGTTGGGAGGCCCTAACTTGAAGGGAAATTTAGGAAGATTTAAGACTGTCCAGGAGGCCCAGATTCCAGGGGCCCTGCAACCCAGAGGCTCTACAGGCCACAGAGGGAGGCAGAACAATGAACAAGGCCATACTATGAACTTGGAATTGAGAGAGACCTAATTCCACCACTGTCTCGTAGAGCTGTGTGACCTTTACCAAG